ACTTCTTATTCTTTCACACAGGTCTCTACACATACTGGGTATTTTGAATTTGTTCATTCTACTTAAAGTAACACAGAAATCAGTTAGCACTCTATCACAAATTATTTATAACAGACTACCATCAGGCCTTCGAAAAAAACAAAACTGGATAAATGAACTGTGTCTACTTTATACTTATATTTTATGCTCTGCTTTCATTGCTATAAGAAGGAGAGGATTAGAGGCAACAATCTTCATTTCACTAACAGATGCACATCACATCTTTATCCAAGGCACCTGAGAGATTCGTCAGGAAAATCTTGGAGTGACAGAGCAGCCATATCCTCAGATTTTCTCAGTGTGGTCTATGGTCCAATGACAATAAAATGACATGAGGGATTGGGGGTGGGGTGAAGGTCTTGTTAATAATCCAAATTTCTTGGTTCCCCCCACTTATGATAACGAGAAGTGCATTCTGGGAATCTGTGCTTTAACCAGCCTTCTAGGTACCCACTAAAGTTTGAAAGTCTTTGAAGACAATAACACTGAATAAGATCACAAGTTCTCTCCTTATTCCTCTAACTATATGCTTCAGAAACAAAGAACCACTTGACTTTCCCTCATACACATTAAATTAGTATTTCTCCCATCCTGTCTCTTTTTTTTCTGTGCTTCTCCCCCTGTCTTCTATTCATTTTCCATCTAAACCCACCTCTGTTAAAACCTTCAGTATCTCCCTCCTCATGGCCCTAGGATGTTACCTGTCTCTCCCCTGTGTTTGCAGATTCCCACCCAGCTCAGGCGTGTACTTAACATTGCACGTTAGCTGTACCTATCCTCCCTTTGTAGAAATTGTGAGTCCCTTGGAGGCAGATTTTTTCTTTTAATTTCAGTGCCTAGCATGGTATCTTATATACAGCAGAAACTAAGTAAATGTTTATTCAATAATAAGTATATGTATAATTATTATTGGGGAAGCACCTAAAATGGGGTGGTTAGAATATCATATATATATTAAAAATCTGGGCAAATATTCTATCCCCTTAACCATCTGGCTCTGGCATCACAAAACCTGTGTTAAAAAGAATAAGGTATGCTCTGATAAATATCTCTTTTGGAAAATTAATTCGATACATCTGTCATGGAAGTAGTTCCGAACTTGGAATTTAAAGATCTGATTTCAAATCTCACCTTTGCCCCTATCTAGGTCTATGTTTTTCATCAAGTCATATGTTTCATGGCTTCTTCCTCATCTACAAAACTGGCAAAAGAAAAAAAAAAAACACTGTTATGTTACAAGATTATTAAAATAGTCAAATTAAGAAATGTATAGTGTATTGAAACTGGAAAGCATTATGACTATCTTAGTTGGTATGACAGAAATGGCTAGCTGTTCATCTGTCAGCTGTGTTACCCCGTTCATTATACAGAGTTGAAGGTGGGAGAGAGTTACCCAGCTGAGAGATTTCATTTCACAGACACAATAATATAAATAACTCCCATATTTATATTTATATTCCATAAAAGGCCATAAAAGGCCATAAAAGGAGGACCACACAGAGTGGTCCTCCATGCTGTTTCCTTTCTACCACCTTAAATGGAAATGAAGAGTATCTTAACTGTGTGTGGAAAGAAGTTCTAGAGTCAAATCACCTCTCTTCAAATCCTAGTTGATGTGTAAATTATTTAAATTATCTGCCCATCAAGTTCTTATCTCTGGTAATAGTACATATAGGGCTGAATTTTTTTGAGCATTACATAAAATAATCCAAGGGGCTTCTTACACAGTGCCTGGCAAATAGGAAACATTCAACAAATTTTAACAAATGAAAGTAGTACAAATACTGCATAGGCACTTGCTTGACACAGAATTGTTGGATGACTGTAATTCGAATGAGTGAATGGGACACTGAAAATACTTTGTTATGGTCTTGGTCTCCTTTATGCTTGCTAGATATTCCAAGTTTTCCTCATTCAGTCAAGGATAATTATTGCCTTTCACAGAAGTCTTTCTTAAACCGTAGTACTTTTACACCAGAGAGTATACAAGCTTATTTCAGGTGTTAAATGTATAAGCAGTTCATAAATTTCAGTAACTACATATTTATTTTCAAGCATCTTGGGAAAAAATATAACTAGCACATAAAACCTATGATTTCATGGGTATTTTTGCTTATGGCAAGTTTAAAGAAGTCACTTAAGTTAAAATAAAAGTGAATCTATTTAAAGAAAAATAATATAAGCAGTACATGGATATGGCAAACTGTAAGGTTTGAGCAACTAAGGTACTGCCTTTCTGTTTGTATTGTCATTCATATTAGTTATGCTTCTCTTTACAAATTCAGATCTTTGTTAATACCATAGTCAGTTCTTTGTCCCAAAGCTCTTTTTCTCCTTTTTCTATTTTCCATCCCTCCCTCCCTTCCTTCCTATCTAAAATGCTTTCTGCTTTGGGTAGATTTCTTTATCTGTCTTTTTTTTCCTTTCTCTCTTGAATGTTTGACGTGGCGTCCCCTTATTTTCCCCGGCATATTGTCCGCTCCATACTCTGCTACCGTTACCCCAGCATGGCTCCCGCCGCCCCACCCCGCCCCCTTGCGCCTCTTCCCGTTTTCACTGTGATCATGCAGCTTTCCTGACTACGCCTCTCGTCTCTTAGGATTCACACTCTCTCTGTGGAGTCGGGGGAAAACCGGTCTGTTCTCATATTTATGGACTTTCAGAGAGTCTCAGCCCAATATGGGAGAGAAACATGCTACTTCGGAATATGTCACAAATTACCAAGGAGGAGACTCGGAGTCTTCTTTTTAGCAGGGTCACCATTCAGTCAAGTCCTGTCAGGAAGCAAACTGTAACCACGTATTTGTGTTACTCCTTTGCCTTAAAGCCCCCTCCTCACTTTGAACTGCGGCACCAGCTGAGATGCTTCTGGGTACTTTACTTTTTAATCCTTTATGGCCCATTACTTAATTGTTAATTTTATGACTGATTACCTCCTTTAATGATGATTAGACTGAAGTGCACAAATGCTTTCCTAGAACAATATGAGTAGATGACCTATTAAGGAGTTCTGTCAGAAACTCTCAGTATTTTCTGGACCTTCTCTCACTAAAATACTTTACTCTGGTTTTTAAAATATGGTAATTTAAGTGACTATTATGCACGTAATTTTATTTTTGAAATACACAATAATCCTACAGGAAACCTAATTATGAGTCATCATAACAAGGAAGACTAAATAGTCCTCATGGAAGTGGTGTCCTTTGAAAGCTTTTTAGGAAACAATTAAATTCTAAGGGAGAAAATTTAATGTTATATGAAAACTCTTTGTCATCCAAATAAATCTGGGCAATTTGCACAAAAAGTATATTCTCAAATGGGTATTTTATAGTAATGCTAGATTGCCGGGCCAATTTATAAATATTTCTTATTATATTTGGATTATATCAAATCATTTGAAGAATGAAAAAGAGTAAAAAGAGTGCGTAGATCAGTAAACAGCAAACAAAACAAAAAACAACAGTTATTTTTCAGGATATATGGGATAGAGTTTAAATGGAAAGATTTAAATATATGGGATAGAGTTTAAATGGAAAGATTTAAAGAAAATAAAAATGTAGCATGGTAAGTCATTGGGAATGGTTTCTAATGTGTTGAAAATCTGAAAATCTGATATACATTAGATCTTTTTTTCTTTCTGACAATTACAATACTTCAAAACTCTTTTACCAATTTTTATTTTACTTTTTCCTGTGTGTACTTCCTGAAGATACAGAGCAGGGTCATGTGGCTGGGCTGCAGCGTGAAGGGGAGCTGCTCAGAGTCTAGAGAGTGAGCAGCAGCCAGATCACCTTACTGGTCAACACAGAAAGATGCCATTGAAGGGTGTGGTCAAATTTGTGGTTAAAAAGTCACTCTGGCTATAGCATGAAGGATAGTTAGTGTTTGGAGATCAGTTAAAAGGGTCAGTTCGGAAGGTTTACTACAAGGATGAGATTACAATAATTTAATGTGGCCACTCTAGAAATAGAGAAACAAAAGTGAGCTTGAGGATGGATTTGGATACAGGAATAAGTAATAAGGATAATGGAAATTTGAAAGGTGGCAACTTACAGTTTTCCATTTTTTGCAATGCCATGAATAGCGGTTTCATTTTCCAGTACAAGAAAAAATGGGAAACAGCCAGTTTTGAAGTCCCATTTTGTACAAACTGACTTGCAGGTATTTCTAAGACTTCCAAGCCTTGTGAACTTTGCCAGTCTGCTCTTCTTTGATCTTGGTTTATTCATCTCCAAAATTAAGCATTTACACTAAAAGACCAGATCTATGTAATTATACATAATGTACATTACAATGCTTTCACTGTAGATTTAATTGTGTGTAAGTTTAGAGAACTTTAAATACTGGAAATGGTAAACTGAGGATTCAAATCTTATGTTAGAGGGAAAAGTGATCAACGTCTAGGAAAGGGAATGGCATAATGAAATTATAATTTAAAGGTATTATTCTGACAGCCGGACTGAAGCAAGACATAAATTACCAATGGGAAACCAGGAAATAGGTTACAATATTGAAGACCTAAATTGTATTAGGGACTCGGGAAAAAGGAAGATCAAGTTTTAGATAGTGTATAGCATGAATTGGCAGTTCTGGATAATGTAAATCATAAAATGAGAGATAACTAACAACTTATATATATTATATATATATACATATAGATGAAGGAGACAAAATAATATACTTGAAGTATATTATTGAGAGACTTATAATGACCAGTTTATCTGACATGCTGAATCTGTAGCTATGCCATATTTCAGAAAGTACATTACCTTTTTTTAAAGAAAATAATCATTCAATAATAGAAAGATGATACACTTTGACTTTCCAGCATATAACTAAATAACATTTAATATGTACATGTAGAGATTCTTTTAAAAAACTACAGTTAGTACTAAGAACAATTTCTGCAACTTGTTTTAAAAGTTCTGTTTTGTTTTTGTTCTCTGATTTTGTTTTTTCAGCTCCATGTGGTGGCCATTTTTCAGCACCCAGTGGATTGATTCTCTCACCAGGATGGCCAGGGTACTATAAAGACTCTTTGAATTGTGAGTGGGTGATTGAAGCTGAACCTGGCCACTCTATCAAAATTACATTTGAAAGGTCTCTGCGAATATTTTTCTACCTTTAAAAAAAAGATTATCTGAAAGAATAGTTGATATCCTCCATTTTATTTAACAAATCAGTGTTTAATTTTGCTGAATGGTCAATTACTATGCTTCAGACTGTTTACCCCTTTTAACCTTTCAACCTGTTTTCAAAGTTAATTTTCTCTTTGTTTAACGTTCTATCAGTACTATTGACATATGCAAGATGGACTTTATATATATATATAAAATATACACACACATATACACACATACTACTGAGACAGGAACATGTGAAGTTTTACTTAATGAATTTTGTTGCCCTGTATCTTGAAGAGCCTGTGAATTCTGCTTTACTAGATTTCAAAAGGCAAAGGTGCTGTAAATTTTTGAATCAATATACTGTAGCCGAAGACACTTAATTACACTATCCATATACATACAAGTCCTTCAGAAAAATAGTTGTCATATGTCAAATTAATATGTGTTAATGATTGGCCAGTTGAAATTTTTTCCTAGGAAAATTAGTACTAGCTAATAAAATAATCCATATCATAAAAGATTATAATGTTGACTGTTAAAAAGTTAAAAGAATGAAGCTTCTGGCCTGTGAGTGGATCCACAAATCCAGTAGAAGCATTTATATAATTTCCTACCTATCTGGTTAACTCCCCTCATAGCCCAACCCCTTTCTTTAAAAGAAGGAACCTCTGTAAGCATTGTATTTACATGGTAAACATATAAATATATATACATACAGTAGAATTATGCTCTGAGTATTGAATTTTATAAATATAACATAATCCCTCCCTAATTCCAAAAGTTCGTCGTTGAATCAATCTATCCCTGCTAGTGTTAAAATTTTAAAAGAAAGCACATCCTGTTTTGACAGATGTAAAGTATTAAACATTTCACCTGAGGCCATCCGAGTTATTGTGACCTACACGTCACTGTGCTCTGGTTGCCGTCTCCAAGCACCACAGACTAAGTGGCTTAAATGAAAGAAATTTATTTCCTCACAGTCTGGAGGCCAGAAGTCTGGGATCAAGGTATAAATAGGGTTGTTTCCTTCTGAAGCCATAGTCCTTGACTTGTAGATGGCTATTCTCTCCCTGGTGTTCCCAGGTCTCCCCTCTGTGTGTGTGTCTGTTTCCTGATCTTCTCTTTTTATAAGAACACCAGTTATATTGGATTAGGGCCCAGCCCATGATCTCATTTTACCTTAATGACCTCTTTAAAGCACCTTTCTCCAGATACAGTCACATTCTGAGGAACCAGGGATTCATATTTGAACATGAATTTTAAGGGAGTACAGCTCAGTCCATAACAAAAAAAGAGGTTTTCTTTGGAATACTAAGACAGACTTTTTTGTTGTGATGTTAAAAACATAGCCTTTATTCAGTGATTGACATAGCCTGTGTTGCCATAGCAACTTTAGGGATGCTTGAAAAGCATCTCATATGTTCAAAATCAAATCTTTTTCAAATAACATCATTCCATGAATGTGGGACCCAAATTAACAACCTTACTTTGTTAACAGAATTCCATTTGGTTTGAACTATATTATATAACATAATATTATTGATCATATTATTGAATAATTTAAAAAATCATACTGATCCATGCTAATAGGGCAGATAATAAGTATTTTTATTTTGTTGAAGTCAGAGCTTCACATCTGAAGGATTGGCATATTTGTTCAGTCTATTATAATTTGTCTCATATTTTTAATAAATTCATATTTAATATATTTAAATACATGATTTTAGTATTTCTTGTTTTGTACTTAACATTATTTTGTATGAGGAGTTATGATGTTAAGGTAATTGAAAATGTGTTATTACATCTGTGTAGTTCATAATGTCTATCACCCATATAGTTCTCACCAGTCATCATCCTTCAATGTCTAAATAAAAAGGCTTGGAGCCCCTTCCCACATTCAGCAAGTCTAGGCCCTCCTTAAATTTTCAGAGAATTCCTGGGGATGGCTTTGTTTACTTCTGGGTCTGAATTCCTGCTCTTAGCATCATTTTACTTGTGAGATAGGGAGCATGCTGCCATCTCTCTACTCCTTAGGCCAGTCTTTATTTGAATCATTTTCCTTCATTCTCACAAAAACTTGAATACAAGGGATATCCAAAAAGGATTACTCACAGTCCAGAATAATTTAAGATTAAATACGTCTCCCCTGTCCTAGAGTTCTCCCAGTAATGCCCATCACAGGCATGGCTGTGTGTATCTCTGCAAGGCCCTCTCTTATTCCAGACCCTTCCCAGCCCTAATCTTCTCCACATCCAGCATGTTCAACTCTGTTTCCCCACTCTCTAGTACTCCAGTTGACAGCAGGGTGAATCTCAAAATACTTGTTACTTTATTATGCAGAACAATTTAACTGTTTTTCTGAGCTCCCAACTGAGTCATGTTAGCTGATTGGGGATGGGAATGGATTTTTCTTTTTTCCAAGCCTGCAAATTAAAAGTTGAGTTTTTTCTAAATTAAAGATCAGTGTTCTCTTAAGGAGAACTCACTCTTCGTCTGTCTCCTTGCTGAGTCAAATTATAGCCAACTTTTAAAAATAACACTTTTTTCATTAAATTCAGTTTAAAAATACTACATAAGTATGAAATAATATCATTGGAAAATTACTTTAAATTTGATAAACACAAATTGCATTATTATACTGAAAAGCATCCCCTGGTTTGCAAATGAAAGACATTGCCCATCAATAAGTAAATACCTGATACCTTTCAGCCCTAAGTAGGCTATCTAGAGCTGCCCACTTGAGAAGCAGTTAGATGGAAAAGCAAGGCTTGTAACTCAGAGCACCATAGTTGTCACTATTGATTGTGGGCTTTTGTTTGAAGGTACCATTTTCTCTTCCCAAAGTTGTTAACAAGTTCTATCCTCCCAACAGGTAGTTGTTACACGGGCCTCCTTGCTGCTTGTCTATCTTGTTTAGGTGCCTTCAGAATCATCCAAAGTGAATTCATGTGGGCTGTACAATGTGTGTTCTAAGTCAGACCGTCCCAAACTTACCTTCCTGATAAAAAATCTTTTCAGCCATTTTTATGAGATGTAATGCTAGTTTAATAGATAAAAATCTAATTTAATTTCTATGAATATTGTCAGCACTTTTTACTCTGCCACTTGTCTTATTATCTTGTTTAGTGAGATACAAATTTTTTATGTTAGTGTAGAAGCAAGGAAGTCTAACTGAAAGGTAAGTTTCAGTGCTAGGGCTTGTGCACAGCAACACAAACAGTTTTGTAGGTGAACCAGAACAGGCTTTGGGTAAGAAATGATTCTGAGTCCGGAGATGTTGGCTTTTCCCCATGAGCATCACTGAGCTGGACTTCTCAACTGTGTCTCTTTTCTTAATCCCTAAATTATCCATTCAAGTAAATTACACACCTTGTAGCTCCTTCACCTACTTGACACCAATCATTTTGTTTTATAGAGATTCCTTGTTAATTAGCCCAAATATAGATCCGAGTGTTAGAATGCTTTAATAAGAGTTTACTGATGGTATTGTCACTATTTTAAAATAGGCAGGGCATGGCTATATCATCATGTTTCATGTTTCTTTTGAATCATACTTTTTATAACCAAAATAAAGTCCCAAATTATTTTACATCTTCTAAACTGAAATGTTCTTTTCAGAGCTTGAGTTGTCTTCCTACCCTTCACAAACTTGCGCATAAGATTCTTGAGTTGAAACTATTAGAAGAGAAAATTATTAAAATATCTTCTGCCCTGTCTTCTTTTAAACCTGTAAGGGTGAGATTTTGTTCTAGGGCTGTGAATACTCCATATGCTTTCTCAGAAAACTGGTTCCTTTAAAACAGTCCACATTTAAACAGCCCTCATGTGGTTAAGAGTAACTTGGTAGCAAAGCAATGAATCAGGGACTTCATCCAGTTAAAAAATAAATGAGAATTTTATCTATTAGGGTAGTGGCATGAAACAGTTACTTCAAAGTCAGAAATATGTACATCTGTTACTTGTTTAGTGGCCTTATAATATTTGAATGCTTCATTTTCCCCTTCACATTGTTTTGAGAAACAATATATTAACTCTGAACTATCTAACAGGAATTATGTTCTTGAAAACTTAATTCCCTTCTGATTTCCAGATTAGCTCTTGTGAGGACACTGGTTGACAACTCTTTAATAGTTTCTCTCATTCTCAGAATATTTTTTATAGACTTTGGTTCCAAATAATGAATTGTATTTATCATAGTTATTTATTTATTTACAGAATGTATTACAGTCACTTGCTTTCCAGTATACATGAATAACTTAATTTGGCTGAAAATGAAAATTTGAAAAATCAGATAATATATCCCCCTTGAACATCATGGGTTTGAACTGTGCAAGTCAATTTATACAGGAATTTTTTTCAATAAATATATTCAAAAATTTTTCAGAGATTTGTGACAATTTGAAAAAAACATTTTCTTTTCTCTAGATTATTGTAAGAATACAGTATATAATATATATACCATACAAAATATGTGTTAACTCTATGTTGTGAGTGAGGCTTCTGGTCACCAGTAGGCTATTTGTAGTTAGGTTTTGGGAATTCAGAAGTTATACATGGATTTTTGACTGTGCAGGGTGGGGTAGCAGAGGTCAGTGCCCCTAACCTCCATGTTGTCCAAGGGTCAACTGTAATTAAGATGATGGCACAGCTATTTTGCAGGGTTTTTTTCCTATATCCCCAAATGTAGCAATTGATTAGAATTAATATACAAAAAAACCCTAAAAAGACTTTACAAATATATGAGCCATTAGTTGGTTTCTTGAGATTGTTTCCATTAGCTTAAGGCAATGAACTATTAAGAAATACAATTTTCTATCAAATACAAAGTAGCAATAATGACCAGGAATATATGTGATTTTCAAGAACCATTTATTCCTTGTTAACATTGCAAAATGGTTAACAAGGCTTATTCTCAGATCTGCAGAGAATTTTTGCTTTTTTTCCCTGGAGTTCTTCAGTTTTCTCAGTATTTGGCAGATCCTAACTGAATTCACTTTATTATTAATCGTCCTAAGCCTGTCCTTCTATTCCTTTTCCTGTCTTCATTTCTTTGGCCACAAGCTACTGTTTCAGTCTTCCAGAGAGCAAGTTTGTTTATTTTTAAGTTAATGAGAACTATTTCAATTTAGTCAGAATGAGTTTGGGTTACACGAATCATGTTTTGAAAAGGCAGCAAAAATCAAGTACGATTATATCCAATTTCATTTCTAATATCATCTAGTGATTTCTCTAACATTTGTTTATGATAAGCAATACATTTGATGTCAAACAAATGAATGCTAGATTGAGTAAATTGCTGAGAAATTTATACAACTATCTTAAAGCACAGAATCAAAGAAATTCAAATTATTGTGTTACCCTATTCCATTTTCCTTGTTATTATAATGTATTTTTATGGTTCCTTAGGGCAAATCTTTGCTGATTTTCTTTTTAAAGATTCACTCCTACTAAACAATCCTTTCTATATCACCAGTTAATGTTGTTATTCTATTAAGAATTGTCTCTTTATGTTTCAATTCCAAGTAATCACTGACTCTTCTGTGCATTTTAATTTGGTTATTATCAGCTAGCTGACTAGCTACCAAAGTGAAACTCCAATTTCAAAACTAGCATAGATGACTACAAAACAACCAAATAGTGGGTTCACAATGCCCAATTGTCTGAACATTTATCTGAAGGACATAGTGTATTCCTATACATTTACTATTTTAAATCATGTATTGTAAAATTTATTTTTAGACAGATGTAATATATTCCAGGTTGCAAAATGAGAAGTAAGATAAGCTTATGATAAATCATTATTTTATTGAGCATATTGCTTAACAGGATGTAGCAGTGGTACAAATCGAAAAATATTATGTTCTTCTCAAGTATCATTATATTATATACTTATTTTTGACTGCCATATTCATAAAACTTAACTTTCAATTTTCCATTGAGTTTATTTTGACCAGGTTTTAAGGTTTAATTATTTCAGTGACATTTTTTGAGGAATGACATATTTAAATTGTGTAATACTGAAAAGACTGGTAGGTATGGTAATAAAAGTGATTATCTAAAAATTGGTGGACATTTCAAATGAAAATTATTTTTAAACTGTTTATGAAAATGTACTGGAACATACATTTTAAAAGGGTAAAGACACATGTTCAATACTGAAGTATCCAAATATATTCATATTCAGTGTTTTTTCTTGTCAAGTTAGTAATAGCCCTTAAAAAAAGAAAGATATTTTTGTCTTTAAAATATATTCATGGTTTCATTTATCCAATAAATATTTATTGAGTGTCTGCTATATGCGAAGCATTGATAAAAACAGATCTCTGTGTGATCTCATGGAGCAGATAGACTCTTAAAGGAGACAACTATGAAACCTGAAAACACAAGTGCTTTTGGTGTTACAAAGGCCAGTAACTGTGGCTCTATAACAGGGAAACTAACCTACACTGTGAGGTCAGGGATGGGCTTCCTGTAGACATATTTAAGCTGAAAACTGAAAGATGTGTGGGAAAACCTTGGTAATAGTAGGAAAAGATTTTCTTGGGCTGCAGTATCATGATGGGCAAGGAATTAAAATGCTCAGTTTTTCATGACTCCATGTAAAGTATATACCAGATTCAAAATGTGGTATAAGGTGCACATAATTCAGAATATTCAAAGAAGGCATGCAGAATGCTATTTTACTAATAATATGTTATGCATGTGAAAAGGAACTCTATGTTGATTGTAGTTTATAAATAATTGTATATTTTTAAAACATTGAAAATGATAGCAGCGACAACAGCCAAAAATCTAAAAATAAAATCAGCCAGCATAGCAAAATGATTAGGGACAGAGAGACTTGGGTTTGAAGCCTAGCTCTGTCATTTAAGAAAATGTGATACTATCTAAGTTCTGCTGTCCTCAGTTTCCTTATCTGCAAAGTGAGTATACTAATAGGAGCTAACTTTTAGGATTAGTGGGAGATTATCTAGATAAACAAACAAATAAACTATTTAGCAGAACTTCAGGTACTTAATTACTAACATCAACTATATCATCATCATCATTATTATTATTAGCTACTTATAATTAGAACTGCTGTTTTGAAATAAAAACCATTATAAAATTTTAATGGCCACAATAAATTTGTCAAAAAAAAATGCCCTAAAACATATATAAAGCAGAAGTCAGATTTGAAATATATGTACAATTAAGATAAGACTCTGATCGTTGGATTGAAAAGAAATATAAATCTCAAGTTTTCAATGGAAATTAGGAATGCAAAAGAATGGTGATTCCAAAAATGTGCTCGGTTAATGGAAAGGCCATTTATTTACTGAAGATAATCCATAGTAATAAGAGCTTATAACTTTGGTATTTGCCAATGATGGGGTCTTAAATGATATATAAGATATTAGATGAGCTATGAAAATTATAATAAAAATGAGTAAAAATTTTAAATAGTAATTTAGATTGCATTCTAAAGTATTATTCTCTAAACAATGTTATTCTAACAAGTATATGTCACATGTTTCTCTTAATCTTAGATTTCAGACTGAACTGAATTATGATGTTCTGGAAGTTCATGATGGGCCCAATCTTCTATCACCCTTGCTTGGATCTTATAATGGCACGCAAGTGCCCCAGTTTCTATTTAGTACCAGTAATTTTATATACCTTCTATTTACAACAGACAACAGCCGTTCTAACAATGGTTTCAAGATTCATTATGAAAGTGAGTAATGTCAAAATGTTTTGTGATGTCTCTTTTCTGTTTTCCCTATGTTTGGTATTACCACTATATCACTAAGAGAACTAAAAGATTTATTTAAAAAAAATTGAGGATTCCCTTGACCTATGAGAATGCTGATAGTTACACAGTGTGTGTTTTAATAAATTCTGCAATAGATTTTCCAACAGTATCTATCCAAAATCATTATAACAAGAAATGTCAGAGACATCAAATAACAAATCTTAAAAAAATGAGTTCATGTATTAGTTATCTGTGCACAGTTCTGAAAAGCCAATAATAGGCAATAAATGTTAGTCAAGATGTATATGAACATTGACAAATTCTTTTAGCATTTACTTCATGGATTCAATAACTTTCATATTTTACCCACACTAATTGCAGACATTTACCATTTAAAAGATTCAGTTGTATTATTTTATATGAAATGTTGAAAACTATATTAATTTTGGCAAGTAAAATATATACACATATACAAATATGGCTAACAAAGCTGGTCAAAGGCTACATAGTAAAACAAGCTATAATGCAGTGTTGAAATAAGTTTATAATAATCCCACTTGAAAGGTTTTAGTAGAAAGTCTAAAATATGTCTGGTATTTTAAAAAATTTTGATGCTTGTATGTACATAGAAACAAGTCTCTTTTATTTATAAACATCTGACATTTATATGTATGTGAATGCACTGAATTTGATGATTGAATGCGTACATACAGATAAACACGTGTGTGATGGCAGGGTTCTTGTTTGCGGAGTCAAAGAATGAACTTAGCAAACACCCAAGGTAGGAGAGCCAGGGAGAGGCTTTTATTTAGAAATAAAGTGAGAGGAAAGAGCCCCTGGCTCACACCAGGAGGGGACAAGAGAGCCTGGAGTGGTGCATTGTCTAGGATATTTATAGGCAGTTGAGGATATTTTGGAATTGAGGGTTTAGGGTGTGGACTTGTACCACCTGCCCTGCCCTCAAGGTGGGCTGGGTTGTTGTCTGTTTGCTAGGGCTGTTTACAGCAAAGTCACGGGTTATGCTGAGATACCCTTGCAGAACACTCAAACATTCCAGGCCAAGTTGCTCCTGCCTTTTAACCTTTAACTGAATTCACTGAAGGTGTCTGTATTCCTAGTCTGGTATCTTTACCCTAGAGAATTAGTGTGACCTTGACTTTGCATAATGCTGATCACAGAGTTTCAATAGGGATTTTACACTGTTACATTGCTTTGACTGTAAATATCCTGCCTTGATTTTTCTGGAGGCCCTCACCCTACTTTGACTACACCCATGGTAGCTCTATAACAGGGAAACTAACCTACACTGTGAGGTCAGGGATGGGCTTCCTGTAGACATATTTAAGCTGAAAACTGAAAGATGTGTGGGAAAACCTTGGTAATAGTAGGAAAAGATTTTCTTGGGCTGCAGTATCATGATGGGCAAGGAATTAAAATGCTCAGTTTTTCATGACTCCATGTAAAGTATATACCAGATTCAAAATGTGGTATAAGGTGCACATAATTCAGAATATTCAAAGAAGGCATGCAGAATGCTATTTTACTAATAATATGTTATGCATGTGAAAAGGAACTCTATGTTGATTGTAGTTTATAAATAATTGTATATTTTTAAAACATTGAAAATGATAGCAGCGACAACAGCCAAAAATCTAAAAATAAAATCAGCCAGCATAGCAAAATGATTAGGGACAGAGAGACTTGGGTTTGAAGCCTAGCTCTGTCATTTAAGAAAATGTGATACTATCTAAGTTCTGCTGTCCTCAGTTTCCTTATCTGCAAAGTGAGTATACTAATAGGAGCTAACTTTTAGGATTAGTGGGAGATTATCTAGATAAACAAACAAATAAACTATTTAGCAGAACTTCAGGTACTTAATTACTAACATCAACTATATCATCATCATCATTATTATTATTAGCTACTTATAATTAGAACTGCTGTTTTGAAATAAAAACCATTATAAAATTTTAATGGCCACAATAAATTTGTCAAAAAAAAATGCCCTAAAACATATATAAAGCAGAAGTCAGATTTGAAATATATGTACAATTAAGATAAGACTCTGATCGTTGGATTGAAAAGAAATATAAATCTCAAGTTTTCAATGGAAATTAGGAATGCAAAAGAATGGTGATTCCAAAAATGTGCTCGGTTAATGGAAAGGCCATTTATTTACTGAAGATAATCCATAGTAATAAGAGCTTATAACTTTGGTATTTGCCAATGATGGGGTCTTAAATGATATATAAGATATTAGATGAGCTATGAAAATTATAATAAAAATGAGTAAAAATTTTAAATAGTAATTTAGATTGCATTCTAAAGTATTATTCTCTAAACAATGTTATTCTAACAAGTATATGTCACATGTTTCTCTTAATCTTAGATTTCAGACTGAACTGAATTATGATGTTCTGGAAGTTCATGATGGGCCCAATCTTCTATCACCCTTGCTTGGATCTTATAATGGCACGCAAGTGCCCCAGTTTCTATTTAGTACCAGTAATTTTATATACCTTCTATTTACAACAGACAACAGCCGTTCTAACAATGGTTTCAAGATTCATTATGAAAGTGAGTAATGTCAAAATGTTTTGTGATGTCTCTTTTCTGTTTTCCCTATGTTTGGTATTACCACTATATCACTAAGAGAACTAAAAGATTTATTTAAAAAAAATTGAGGATTCCCTTGACCTATGAGAATGCTGATAGTTACACAGTGTGTGTTTTAATAAATTCTGCAATAGATTTTCCAACAGTATCTATCCAAAATCATTATAACAAGAAATGTCAGAGACATCAAATAACAAATCTTAAAAAAATGAGTTCATGTATTAGTTATCTGTGCACAGTTCTGAAAAGCCAATAATAGGCAATAAATGTTAGTCAAGATGTATATGAACATTGACAAATTCTTTTAGCATTTACTTCATGGATTCAATAACTTTCATATTTTACCCACACTAATTGCAGACATTTACCATTTAAAAGATTCAGTTGTATTATTTTATATGAAATGTTGAAAACTATATTAATTTTGGCAAGTAAAATATATACACATATACAAATATGGCTAACAAAGCTGGTCAAAGGCTACATAGTAAAACAAGCTATAATGCAGTGTTGAAATAAGTTTATAATAATCCCACTTGAAAGGTTTTAGTAGAAAGTCTAAAATATGTCTGGTATTTTAAAAAATTTTGATGCTTGTATGTACATAGAAACAAGTCTCTTTTATTTATAAACATCTGACATTTATATGTATGTGAATGCACTGAATTTGATGATTGAATGCGTACATACAGATAAACACGTGTGTGATGGCAGGGTTCTTGTTTGCGGAGTCAAAGAATGAACTTAGCAAACACCCAAGGTAGGAGAGCCAGGGAGAGGCTTTTATTTAGAAATAAAGTGAGAGGAAAGAGCCCCTGGCTCACACCAGGAGGGGACAAGAGAGCCTGGAGTGGTGCATTGTCTAGGATATTTATAGGCAGTTGAGGATATTTTGGAATTGAGGGTTTAGGGTGTGGACTTGTACCACCTGCCCTGCCCTCAAGGTGGGCTGGGTTGTTGTCTGTTTGCTAGGGCTGTTTACAGCAAAGTCACGGGTTATGCTGAGATACCCTTGCAGAACACTCAAACATTCCAGGCCAAGTTGCTCCTGCCTTTTAACCTTTAACTGAATTCACTGAAGGTGTCTGTATTCCTAGTCTGGTATCTTTACCCTAGAGAATTAGTGTGACCTTGACTTTGCATAATGCTGATCACAGAGTTTCAATAGGGATTTTACACTGTTACATTGCTTTGACTGTAAATATCCTGCCTTGATTTTTCTGGAGGCCCTCACCCTACTTTGACTACACCCATGGTCCCTGTCTCATGTGCGCTTATTTTCATTTGGAAATGCATTGCCATGTATCTTTGCATGAAAAGCAGTTTTGGTGAATAGATCTAACAGCACATTTAAGAGGGTTACTGCAAGATATCTTACATCAAGTGAGATATTATTCACTTCTTTTCATATTCAAGTCTCCTCCCTCCCACTTCAAGAAAATATTATTGCATTGAAAATTTATAACTCTGTTTTCCATGTTGGGGGTCTCTCTTCAGGAGATCTGGTCAGTGGACTCATGTGTTTTTAAAATCATAATAATACATATTCATTGCTTTTTTCTTTTTGATCTTCTGCACAATATCATTTAATAGTTAATTTCCCTTTATTGAGAGTTTTATATGGAAGTATATTTCCCAAACATTGTAAAATGCAACAAGAGGTTAACACATACTTAGGGATTCAAATGAACTAAGGACCTTAATTGAGATCTTCTGATTAATATTTATTTATTAAAGATGAGTCAGAGTAGAGCCATTTTTTGAAATGATTTCAAAATTAATTCTTACTAGCAGTTAATTTGAATCAAGATGCCACAATAGGCAAATTCCTTTTGTCTTAGTCCATTACAGTGTCCCATGACCAATGAATCACATTCAATCCCACTCCAGCTAAGGTATGGTCTTTATTGTGTGTCAGACACAGAATTATTTTAAGGATTAAATGAAACCACATATGCAGTGTTATTGAAAGGCCTAACATACAGTAAGGCTCAGTAAATGATAGCTCTTGTCTTTTTCCTATACAAACTAATCAGATGAGGAATGAAAATAAGAATTCAAGCTCAAATGTGTTCCTCAGTTGTAAATGAAGAAATTATTAATAACACTTCCTAAAGATAGAAAAGCACACTTTGCTACAGTGGACTTTTGTATTAGCGGAGAGAGATTGAGCTCAACTCTGACTACAAGAATGAATTTATAGCCAAGGAACAGGGTAGGGATCAGTGGACAGAAAATTACTAAGAGGGAACGTTAGGGACAGGGGGATTCTGACTAAACCTGTCATATAGGATTTTTTCTGAAAGTAGTCAGGGTGATAAGATACTAAGGGTGGGGATGAGAAATCTGATCAGATATCAAAGGGA